ACCTTGGGCAGCTCTGCTGAGGCTTGGTACTTCTTCATCCTCTCAAACACTGAGCTATCAGCGCAGCCTCCCTCTGGGCCGTACTTGTGCGGGTAGTCTGAGCGAGAGAGGCAGACACAACACAGTTAGGATTACGGGAGACAATGTTAGCTACTTAACCCCCTGAGTCTCTCTATTTCTGGCGCTTTTCATGATCAGCTAATGGATGTACTTACACGCCACTTGAGCCTAGCCTTGCTATGTGAGCTGATACTTTCTTGTCGCTCTCATTAGCGATTCCTCTCACATTTCGGTTTAATTTTGCCCCTCAGCCACGTTCAGTGTGTACACAGATCAATTGAAATTAGGGGTTGCCAGTATAGTGAAGTATGCTTGGTGCTCACTATCAGTATCAACATTGGGAAGACTGCTAAAATGAGCCAGTAGCCCGGGAGAAAGATCCTGTTACTCAGCCAAACAAGCAGCCCAGGTATCTCTGCTCCCTGGGGGCCGATCACACCAGTCTAACCGTACACTTCCCCGAGCACACACTTATAAATGCGTGCATCCGATTACCCGACGATTACAGCGTGTCAAAGTGTTTGTGTCGCTGAAAGTTGCTGGGGACTCACGTATGTCGTCTTCGTGATAGATGACTGAGTGGTAGGGCACGTCTTTGCTCTGCAGGTATCTGTCAGCGGGCTCCACGTAGTAGGAGCCATGGTAGCTCTGAATGAAGCCCTCAAACTTACCATCCACAATGGAGCCATGAGTCAGGGTACCTTTCTCACCTGGGAACCCAAAGTACAGCGGTATAGATGTCAGAGGATTCACACTAGATCGAGCAGCGATGCGTTAATACAGGTATGTTATAATGTTATAATGAGAAGGGCCGTCTTACCGTAGATTTCGCCGGTGTAGATGTGAGAGGTATCGAATGGAACCTCGTTTCCTGAAACGTCTACCTTCAAATCTTGGGAAAACAAGGTTGTATCTCTCTTCATTCGTAAATTAAAATGCCTGAAATAAAAGAAAGGAATTTATAGGCAATAGAGAAAACACAAGACATTTGAATGTGATGACAAAGGTTACAACGTGGGGCAACGGTGTTTTCTATATTGCGAGAAGTTTGTTTCCAAAATCATGTCACACAGTGTGAGCCTATAGGGTTTGGGTGTGGATCTGGATTTGGCACTACTTTTGTAGATAAGGAATATTCCCCCGGTGTTTGAGAAAAAGGAAAATGTAAATGAAAGGGGGAAAAGGTGAAAGGAAGGTAATAGTTTGGCAGAGAGAAGACGTCTAAGCGGTTTCAGTTGCAGAGGGGAAACTGAAGACTTATCTTGTAAGAGAGGCAACAGAAAATGAGGACATCTTGAAACAATGGTACTTTTTGGTTTAACAGACATATGGAAGGGAAACAAAGATGCCAGAGTAAATCTTGGGTTTCATGTAACACCTACACAGTGCTCTTATTGTATGTGAGCTACTGTTCTGTGGGTCAGACACAGCAGTTAAATTGGCCGTGAGAGAACAGAGGTCTTTGTAGTATTAGGATCAGAAAGTGAGGGTCAAACTTGACTTGATTGCACAGGAATCTGGTACAATGTAGAGAACCTTTTGTACCACGATTGTTTTCTGCTATGACTTCGTTAATGGGGTGCTGCAAATTAAATGTAAGAATTTGAGTTGTATCTCCAGCAGTGCCGTGAATTCAAAAAGGAAAAGAAGCCGACATATTCCTGCTTTTTAAAAAGGAACAGACATCTTCCTTCTCCCTGTTTGTTTGCTCGGCTCTCATCGTTCTCTTCTCTGTTGAGCAGCGTCAGAGTTTGGGAACAGCCGGCAGGACGATGAACAGCCTTTGCCAAGCTCACAGCCAGATGGTCCTGACTTTGTCGTGGAGAGTGTGGACACTTTCTATCAAACAACAGCACCTCTTCAAAACGCTGGATGAAGCAGCATGTCAAAGACTGTGTGTGTCCATCCATCCATCTTCTTTAGCTAGAAGGGGTTCCCACCCAGGTATCAGGTGTACAGAGACACCCTGGAAACACCCGATCCCTCACAGGGCTAACTAACACACACACACACACCAATGCAGTAACAGTTTCTACCTCACCTGCATGTATTTACATTGTGACAGAGTATCAGAACAAACCCAAACCAGGGCAGTGACTAACATTGTTTGGGCAAAGTTATGTCTTCAAATTGCTTGTTTTGTCCAACCAAGAGTCCCAAGAACAAATAAGAATCAGTTTGCTGTCATAAGACAAAGAACAGCAGGACATCATCACAACTGAGGAGACATTAAAAATAGACAGGGATTCAGACAGAAAGAGAGCCAAACTGAATTTCCCATCAAGTAAATATTTGACAAAATTGACAAACCTTCCATGGGCGTGAAAATCTAAATGAAGGAACTTGTCTTCATACGCGATCGCCCTCTTGGCCCGCTGATGGTTGCTGTGCACAAGCTCTGTGTCGTAGGACAGGCCTTCATAGTGACGGATGTAGTTGTTCAGGGGATTCCTATAGTGCCCTGTGTGACAGGAACAAAAACTCAGCAAAAACAAGGAAAATACATGTTAACTTGAAAAGCATATCCTTATATAATCAAAGTAAATGACACAGCCATCATAGGTGTATAGATATAATCTCTTTGTCATTTATTCGGGGTTGTATATTTATGTACAATACGTAAATGTACCAACACAACATGAATATAGGTGTGCCTGAGGGCTCATTACGCAGAAATAAAATTAAAGCTTATAAAAAGGTAACATACACATTGTACACTACCGAATGTAAAAAGAAAAAATAATAAGTTTAATGAAATCTTGAGAGAAAAAGGTAAAAATGGAAGATCAAAGTATGGTTTGTAACAGCCTTGACACCACACTGTATCTATCACATCGACTATTTCTAGCTGATGGCAGAGAAACTGAAATGCTAGTTTTGTTTGTTAGTCAATATATTTAAAGCGTAGATGGTATTTGAGTCTTTAAGGTGACATCAGAGTATAACAGCTACGTTGTGGAGTAAGTCCTTCATTAGGATATTTTGAAGTGTCCATAAAATTGGGACAGGTGTTTGACAGGCAGGAATAAAAATGATGTCTGTGTTTTAAAATGCAGCTAAATATGCTGTAAGTCAACTGGATGCCAGTTTTGGAGCTGTGCTTAATGACAGCCTCCAGCGTCACAGTATTATTACTTCGCCACCAGAAGAGTGGGTGGTGTGCTCGAAGGAAAGAGATTCCACCCATTCCACCAACTGCTTCACACGCGAAAGCAGACAAACAGTCATTTCATTGAGGCCATTTAATTCACTCACAATGTTTCTTTGTTTTTAAAGTTAAATAGTAAACTGAGCATACTGGCAAGTCTTTGAGATCTGACTTTTTACTTCATATTTAAACCAAGAGAAAGTATTTTCAGTAAATATATGTAATTAGTACTGTCTGACAGGTAATTATGCCCGACTAGAGAGCCATAAATTATAGGATTCAGGGTAACTATGTAAGAAACATCGCAAGTAGACCGACCAGACTTCAGCTACTTCTCTGTTCATGTGAAGTATGAAATATTTAGGTGCTAACATTGAATTTTTCATTGGGGTGACTATGAGAAGTGAAGGCCATGAATATTCTGAAATATTTTAATTTCTCAAGGCCTACAAAAGGATAAGATAATAAGCATTAAGTAGGCATGTCTTTGATCAAACAAACCATCCACATTATTTCAAAAAAACTATACAAAACAACTTAAGAGCGATAACATCACATGTCAATTCATTACAGGAGGTGGCCCTGTTAAGTGAGAAAGTTGTGTCTGCTACTTTGACAAGGGAACCAGTATGAGATGTAATATATATATATATATATATATAAATAAATAACATAAATATGGACCCTACAACTGTTTGACATGTTCATAGAAGTAAATCTGAGTCATATGCAGCTAATTTGATTTCACTGTTAAACTATTTTACCAGTGTATGATGCATGTGATGCCATAACGAAACGTTGGTTTCATCACAAGTCAACACAGCAATTCACAGAGTGGCAATTTCGTTTTCAAAATAAAAATCACACAGACAAATAATTTTCAAAATAAGATACTGAATCCAGACAATACCGTTACATTCAATTAGAGAAGGCGTCATTAGCATAAAGATACAGAACTGACCAGTCCCAACACAGAAAGACACCTGACCACTTGTCTGTGATATACAGTGTAAACCCTGGCACAGGTAACATAACGGCTACGTGTATTATTTTTGACGTAACGTTAGCGGCTAAAGCGCCAGCTAGCACAAAGCTAACGGCTCGTTGACCCAGTCGGCATCTCCATCTTCTCATAACAATGGCTGTCGGCGCTATTCGCTACGATAACAAAACCGAGCCAAACCTGACAATAAAAACGGTGACAACACGCATAAATAACACATCAATATCGGTTTATTTCAGTCAACTGCACGAATCCAAGTCAGCTTTTTACTCTGTGTGTCATTTTTTTAGCTCGAAGTAATACGGCAAAAAGGGTGCAGTCCTCTTCATAACAAGCAGGCCCTGCTGATCCTCCTGCTAGCTTAACGGGCTAGCAGCCGTTCTCTTAGCTTCATGGATTCAACACAACTTGTAACGTTTTCTCCATGAAACGCCTCACTCACCTTGGGTGTGGTTCAGTAAATACACGACAAGGAAAACTTTAAGAAGAAGCATGTCTGACAAATCCATTGTTAGAACATTGATACCGTTTTCACTTTATTGTCCTACTTCGATAGGCGCAGACGCCCTGTGTGTTTATTGCACCTTCCTCTCATCGCCTCCTCTCTCTCTCTCTCTCTCTCTCTCGCTCCTGCGTCATGACGTCAGACGCACGGCAGCTTTTGGCATCCCTTCCCCCCAAATGCATCCATGATCCAGGTCTGCGTCCATCATAGTGTAATGTAATGTAATGTAATGTAATGTATACAGTAGCTTTCACCCCGACATGACAGGATCATTAAACAACAGAAACATTATATCAAAGTTTTATTCTAATATTTCAGTGTGAACATCAGCTTTTTACATTTTACATATCAAGACAGTTCAGTGACAGTTAATACCATTGCATTTTAATTTATTTATCTTTTTAAAAGTAAAAAAAGCCAAAACATTCCTAAGTTCCAGCTTCTTAACTGTGAGGATGTGCTGCTGCCTGTCTTTGATGTGATGGCTGTTGTAGTAAGCTGAATAATTTGGGTTTTTTTGGACTTGTTTCGCACCAAACAAGCAATGTGATGATGACAACTTTGGCTCTAGGGAGTTGTAATTCTCACCATTTTCTGAAATGTACAGCCCAAATGCTAAAGGAGAGAACAAACAGCAATTCAATCATTGATTGCAGCCCTATTATTTCCATATTAGAGTAGTGGCAGAGCAGCATATTTATAGCCGTAGTATCACAGTAATTACTCGCATAACAAACGTGTAGAGCTGTCATACAATTCATAAGCAGCCAACTGAAATGTGAATCTTCGTTGCTTGGAAACCTGAGATCCTGAGAATATAGTGCTGCCAAAGAAAAGGAAACACTTTGGTGTCATGCATCTGCTCTGCTCTGTATTTCTGATCTTCATCTCAGGATACACCTCTCCCTCCTATACTCAAATAGGATTACATTTGTGATTTATGGAAGATAAGAGTTTTTGATGTAAACATGTTCTAAATGACCAAAATCAGAAAAGCTCCTGCATCTTTTGTTTTGTTTCTGTCTGCTGGTGTTTTCATTTTGGACCACACACTGATGACTTAGCAGCAACGTCTTATCAGTCAGTTCTTCCGTGTCTGTTTATTCAAGACGAGCTCCTCTGGCTCCGGTTGCCGTCACGTGACACACCTCCACATCAGCCCCCAGCTTCTGCAGCGCCTCCAGCCATATTTGTTGTTTCTGGGAAAGCCGGTCGGTGGGCCCCTTCACCTCTACCAGCTGCGACAACAAGACACCCGTTGTCACATTGCACAAATGCAGTACACCCCCTTGTAACCAGACCTCAATCAGGTACCACAGAGTTTATGAATTCACACACACACACACACACACACACACACACACACACACACACACACACACACACACACACACACACACACAGGAAGATGTCTAGTTCAAAGAGCCAGAATAGGATGTGCTCTCACCTTGTAGCTGTTGTTTGAGGTGTTCCACACCACCAGATCGGGCAAACCTCCACGGCAATGTCTGTAGTCTTTGGACATTCGTTTTATTATCCCTCCTAAGAAGGCTCCACCCAGGCATGACACGAGGGACTGCAAATAGAGTATATCAGCACCATGTTAGTACCCACTGTAACACATGTAGACAAAAAGACCTGGAACAGTTCTCTAAACTATAATGTGATGTAACGTTTATTACTGAGGTTGTAGTTAGTGGTGGTGTTGTAACGTATTGAAATGTGTTTCTAATATTCATTCCCCCCTTGCTGTTGCATTGAATTGCTTTCGATTTTACAGGTGTACCTAATAAAGTGGCTACTGAGTGTATATTTACAGTGACAGTAAGCACCTGTGCGTGTTGAAGGGATGAGAAACGCTCCCAGCTGACCAGTGAACACACTTTACCCTCCTGGGAGGTCCAAACATCTCCCAACAAGTCATGCAGAGTCTCCACTGATGACTCACTGAGTAACTGCACACGAGAGTCGATCGCCTCTTTTCTGTTCTCATAGAAACAGTCAGTGTAAAGATCCAGCGGACATGTCTGTGAGAAGAAAAGGAGGATGAGCTCGACTAGTATTAAGTAGACGCACAGATATCCCGCCAGTATTATAAAGGCAGAGCTTACGTCACCTGATACGGATTCCTGAAAACATCTGGAATACCCTCCATAAAAATGATGTCCCAAAGCAGAAGAGCAAACAATGTTGAGAATGTTGAGCCCTCTCCATGGATCCCTATCACATCAACAACGAGGTGTTAAACGGATATCGAAATATCTTTAATAGGTGAATCAAAGCTGCTTACCTTGGTCAAAGCCTTGTTGGTGGTAATGTGCTAAAGACAGCTCTTCCACAGAGCATATCACAGTGGCCTCAGAGCTCTCTTCCCCTTCACCATGCGCTGGTAAAAGAAACTTGGATTTCCCCATACCCCCCTCATGAGGGAACAGCTGTCCCCGGATGGTCACCTGTAGACAAAAGTACTAACATTTAACATGTATCTACTATTTTACATACACCAAACAATTACAACTTTTTCCTAGGAACCCAAATACTGACACATTGTGCTGCACTCACATGCGTGACATCTTGGACTTGGATAGTGGGCAGGTCTTTGAGTTGAAGGCGATACTTCTTCAAGCTGGCCGACTCTTTCATCCTAACGGCTCTCTGGTGAAGAGAAAGTTTATGTCCAGTTCGCACCAGAGGGTCCGATAGCCCGTCTCTGATAGCGCAAATAGCCTGGGAGCAACGGGAACACATTAAATAAATGAAAACACGACAGCTGTTGCTAAAGCTCACTGTCACACGAAGGGAAACAAATGGTCTTAAAGAGGTGAATGTAACCACAGACACTGGTGCTCACTTGCTCGGGTTTCTTTAGGTGCTGGTGAAGGTTCAGCGCCAGTCTGTCCCACCATCGCCCTCGGCTGTCCGGACAGTAAACAAACTGCAACAGTAAAGACCGCAGCTCCTCTACTGCTTCCTGTAACACAAAAGTAGACCCACAACATCTTTAAAGTACTGTTTACACAACTTTACCTTCATAAGGACTTGAATCTCTGTCAGAGTGCGAGTGGATAAGGTCAGAAAACCTCGTAATGACGTAGCCTCTGCAAGATCTCCACCCCTCTGGATAAGATCCGAGTGTAAGCCCATCCCGTGGTGAAGCTGCGCAGGAACACAGGCAGCTCCTCCTGGTGACTGTCCAACACAATGTCAACATTAAACAACATCTCGGGACTCTATGTCTCTGTTCTAGACGGAATGAAAATAAATATTTAAGTCACCTAAGGTCATGGATTTTCCTCAGCTCCTGCCAGACACTTTTGGCAGCAGTGTAAAGCTCCATGGCTTCTTCCCACTGGCCTCCCTGCATAGCTGAGACTACCTCTTGCAGAGCTCGCATGGATGCTTCATACCTGTGGACGGAGTCATTAGTGTTTATTCCTGGCTATCCTGCATAGATGTATAACTCCATTTAACTCTTTTGGCAGACCTGATAAGATCGTCTCTGTCCTGGAACACTTTGGCTCTACGCTGCACCGTGTAGTCGGGGAAGGCCAGGCGTCCCGAGTTAACCAGCAGGATGGTGAAGAGCTGGCTCTGCCCACCAGCCGCCATCTCCTCTTCCTCCATGGTGTCCGTCAGAGAGAAGAGGAGAAGGATCCGAGAAAAGACAGCTCGAGGACCACGACACAGGCGCACACAGGAACTCGCAAGCTGCTTCGCCCTTTAAGGTTCGAGAGCACAGGGGTGAGCTCATTACTGCGATACGAGTGCTGCGAATGAGCACAATGTATTTGATCTTCTCACCTTTTGAGGATGACAGCCCCGATGTTGGCCTGAGCAGGAGTCAGAGAGAAGAGGCACTTTTGTCTGCTCAGACGGAGAAGTCCGTCCACTAGCTGCTGTTTCTGAGTCCCAGAACTGCCCAGATGGAAAGTCTTAGCCAGAGCTTTGAGTTCAGGAGCAGGCAGGAGATCCAGAGCCTCCCCCACATCCTGAAGATCACTCTCTTTGACAAACAGAAATAGCACAGGAGGGGATGAACAGGAGACAGAAAATATGCATTTTTGGGGTGATGTGGTCTTTCAGCCGGATAATTTACATTCTTTATTATACAATTTTACAAAAATGATTGGTACAATACAAAGTATTAGTCAAAAGTGACATGGCACATGGAGACCAACTGATGTAGAAATGGCAGTATAAAAAAATTCCAATTATTGTCTAGGCAGTGGAGGTTTTTGTGCAGAATAGAGCTCAGGGCTGCCCCCTCTTGGGCAGTCAGTCAACTACCTGCTTGTTTTGGTCTTAGTCAGTTTAGTCTTTCTTCATGCTGAATCACTTATTTCCCCCCAAAAATATGAGCACATCTCTGGAAAACAAGATTTAAAGTTGTCCTTTTGTGTCTCTCTTTGTGGAGATTTTCTTTGGGCGAGGACCTACGATCCGTACAACCTTTAAGGATCAGCAGTTACAAATCAGGGGATGAAAAAGTGTTAGGAAGTGGAGACAGATTTCCATCATTCAAACAAGATGTTATTGTGTTTCACAGCTAAAAACTGTAAAGATGTTACCAACACATTATATATATACCAATAATTCCAGAGGTTTTTGCTAACTCCCCCAATGATGCTCTAGAATGTCAAAATATAAGAGGGGTTATTTACCTGTCTGTAGGAAACCACCTCGAACCAATTCCTGAGCCACAGGTCCCAGATCAGTGCTTATCTCTTCATAATCCAGTTTATCTACTTGGAGCCACTTCAGTTTCCTCTGAAAGAGTCTCACATACAGCTTCTGCCCCATGACTTTGAGAGGAAACATACACGTGAGTGATAAGACCTTACTGGTATTCAATAACCACGGCTGAGCGATGTATAAGTGTACCTGAGAGTTTCCCAAATGCATGCACGAGCGACATGTCATCCTTGTTGAACAACGACCTGTCGTCCTCATTCTCCAGGACAGCTTGAAGAATGGTCCTGAAGTTACGGAGGTAGTAGGGAAGCCGTGGGGGCTGAGAGCTCTCCCGGTCACTAGTAGCGGCGTTCTCAGGACCAGACTCGGCCAGTGAATCACGAGTAATCGCTGCAGCACTTTCCTCACATGTTTCCTCTGAACTCAAAGGGACGTCACAAGTACTGGTAGATGGTACCTGAGTTGTCTCTCCTATACTGTCACTAGATAACACCTCATCTGGCTCGCTGCTCCCCTCATATTTGGCTTTCTTTCTGAAATCAGACACCTTGCCAGTGGAAGTTGTTTCCTTCTTTCTCTTTGAGAGTTTGGAGGAAGAAGAGTGCCGCTTTGGAGCAACCCGTTTTGGGACAGTGTCTGATTTTGATGCTTTCTGTTCGAGCTTACGTCCTTTATCTGAACATGATGGATCTTCCAGTGCAGTTGGAGTATCGGCACTAGTTTCTGTAAGGTCAATGACTGTCACGCAATCTTTGTTGTCTTCTAGACTCTGAAGATTTTCTTTCTGTGAGCTCCCGAGTGTCTCAGAAGAATGTATCTTCTTTTCAGGACACATTGGTGAATTATCCTCCGCCTGTGTCCTCTCAGGTACCTTATGACCTTTCCTAGATAACTTGGAGGAGAGACTTCCCAGGTCAATCGTCCTGACCACACTTTTACTTTTTACCCCCCGTGGTGCCTGCTGGGAGTTAATCTTTTTGAAATAAGGGCTGGTCTTTGTCTCTTCGACATCTTCTTCGTTCTCTGGAGACTTTGGGGGATTCCTTGGTGACAGCTGGTTGCTTGCCACAACACTATTACTTGCTGAGGCGGCACTGCTGTCTCCTCTCTCAAAGTTCTGACATTGCAAATCAATGTGCTCATTGATCTTGAATCTTGGTACAAACTGGCCACACAGGGGGCAGGCCAGCTTAGGTGGAGGCTGGCTGCTGAAGAACGAGGTGATTGGAGATGTCCCAGCTTTGACGCTGCCTTTCTTCTTACTCTTGGACAACGACAAACTACGTCTGAGTTTGTCTTTGTTGACTCTCTCGGTCATGATGCAGGCGGAAGTGGTAAATGCAAACCTTTCTGTGTTTTAGAAGCTTTTCTTTGTCGCATACTTTGAGGAGAATAATCGGTGTGGACAGTGTCGATGGACAGGCAATGCTAAAGCTCTATTCGGCTAACTTCTCAGAAAGAGAGACTTTTAAACAGTCACACATCTGTAGTTTTTGGTGCTTCACACATGCATTGGAAAAACGCCCAAAACGTTGATTTAAAGACTGTCAATTTAAAACACAAGACAACATACCGGGAGAAGAGCTGCAGTGTTTGATGATAACGATCCCGCTTCTCAGGCTCAACCAGCGGAGCGCAGAATGCCTTTTAGGATAACTAATCGATCCCAACTTCATCGATATTTCGCAAAAAAACAAGTTAAAATAAAAAATATATATTGTTCTTGATGTAGAATATTTGTTTTTTACATATATATATTTTTAAATGAAAGTCAATGGGAATATAATGCAAACTATTTACAATCCCCCTCTTTTACATACATGGCACCTTCAGTACACCGTTAAATAAGACGTTACTATTAGCCTATATTCGTGTTTTAAACTCAAATTATATAGGTCAATTAGTGAGGCGTGTGTTTGACTATATGTGTTTATTATGCCTCTGTTTTATCTGTTGAGGGACAGAGCAATGAGCACATGATGGGGGGCGTATTTTCTACACAGGTTCCTGGGCTGCTGTGCGGCTTTTATTCAAAAATCACCATTCCGGAGAGCAATCTGATGTGATCAGCACACGGGCATTTTACAAGGAGGGCCGCCGACAGCACTGATGTTGGTAAGTGGCACGTAGGATTGTCTGTGTATGGATGTGGGAAAAAAATGTAATAGTAATGCATGTGGGCCTATTCGGCTTGCGATAACAGAGCTGTAGACAATGCTGGATGTGCTCCTCTGGTACAACATCAACTCACAAGCTGGATGTCAGCATGGTGCAGTCTCGATGCTTCAAATCAAGGTCGATGTGAATTGCAGCAGCAGGATAAGATTTGCTTCCAGATGGTGAAACCAGCCGAGAGTGTGTGTCTGTCTCTGAGTGTGTGTGTGTGTGTGTGTGTGTGTGTGCGTGTGTGTGCAGGGATGTCAGCTCCATCACTGCGTGCTATATAGCCTACGCAGGCAAACCATACATCTGATTATGTTATCGATATTTTAGCAGATGGGAATGCGGCGTCCACTTGTGTAGAAACCGGAGCAACCACAACAACCACTTCTGCAGGTGCGGCAAAAGTTCAGCGTAATGGGTTTATAAAATACCACCACAAATACGTCAAGGGCAGGGCGAAATGCGTGAAATCATAAAGACTGAGTCTTATTTTTAATGACCACTTCAGCACCATGGAGAGGTCATGATTAGGTCCGCGTGTTGTACTGTATTGATGGTGATCTGGATTAGGTTTGTGTACCTACTCATAATACCATAATCTATTTGCATTATCACCTGATCAAGACTTTGGACGGTTGGGATTTTTTTTTTTTTAGTTTGATAAACCAGAATCATATCCCAATGATTGTGCCCAAAACAGAGAAATCGCACAGTTTCTTTTCTTCCAGTTCAGCCTCAAGCTTACATGATTCATGTTTACATGAGGGTGATGACATGTTTAGACTGGGCGGGTATCAGACCACGTTCAGTGTGATAGCTCTAATAGATTCAGTTCAAATCAAGTCATAAGGCCTTTATTACCAGACGGTGAACAGCATTATCACATTTTCTTTTCTTTTGTTTAAAATCATGATAGAAATTAAGATAGATTTAATAGAGGGAGGTCTTCGGGGTCTTATTGAGGAATAGTCAGTCCAAACCACCATATTGTTCCTCAATAAATGTAAAATTGATGACTATAAACTATTATTTTCATTTACCAGTCAATCTGTCAATTATTTTCCAATTTGTTTTGTGGGGGGGGGTTATAAAAATGGTTGCAGATTAACAGACAGTCAATCGACTAATTCATTAATTGATCAGTATCAATATGACTTTGATTAACTGTGTTGTGATTGGATTATTTTCTTTTTTGTTGCTAAAAAAATTGATTCTTGAATTGTGGCATTATCTGTTCATTTTCCAATAGATATGATGTTGTGTTGTGCCTTAGTCCAGGGGAAACATCCATTCAGAGATGCTGCTCAGATGTCAACATAATGATATACTATTCCACAAATGGTTTCCCAAAGAAGACATAAGTCATGGATCATAAATCTGGCACTCGCACTAACCACACTACATGCTTCAGGGATGAGTTTGTAGCTGATACAAAATCTTAACGGCTAAATAATGTCTGTATTTGTGATAAAGAGAGGCATAACCTGTGGCAGTTCATTTCTACAGTATGTTGGTTACGGTGAAGAATTATGACATGTTTTTGTATAAATTCTATTTTAAAATGTTCTACGAAGTAAGGCAAGGCATAATGCATCTAAAGAAATCTAATTTTTGATTTTCTATAAATGTTCGCAGGGTTGAGGGTAGCGGGCTTACAGGGCCAGTTATGGCTCATGGACAAACGCCAGAAACTATTAACAAAATATTGGCGCCCAGCCCTCTGTGCCCCAGTCCAGGACTCACTAAACAGAGCCAAGAAGAGCAGTAAGGTTTGGTGAGGGAGGAGTCTAAGAAACCACTGTGTACCTTGAAGGATGATAACAACGACCAGCTGATTCCTCCTGTCCCTGCAAGCCACTATTACATGAGTTGTGACCCTAGTCCTGAGGACATGGAGGACACCTGCTCTGAGTACGACAACGTGGGCTCTGATGTGGAGCAGGACTATGATGAGGTGCTGCATTTAAACAAGGAGGGCGTTGTGGACACAAGGTACTACAAACAGTACTCTCCTGAGGACGGTGGCTATATAAAGCATGCAGTAGGTGATAATATTAATGAGAACAGCACTGCTGTTGACCAGATCGCTCCGAGGCCTCGTCACGGCACAGAAATATGTGAGGGATCACAATCAGACACTAAGCCTCACAAAACAGGCCATCGCTTTAGGTCCCATTGTGCTCCGATTGCAGGGGATGAAGCTAAGAGGGAGGTGGGAAAAGGCCATGAGAACAGGTTCTTCTTCAGTGATGGAGATGAGATAGAAGAGGTGCTGGATGGGGCCAAATTTATAGAGGATTTAGAGGAGATGGAGAACAGTGTTCCAAGGAAGACTAGCCTTTATCAGGACAACGAGAACGAAAGAATTAGAAAGGGAGGTGATGAAAGGGAAAGAGAAGACAACACTCGAGTCACAAGAAACCATAATATCCCAGGAGCCACTAAGAAGTGTGAGTCCTCTCACATGGGTGCAAAAGAGAAGGAGAGGCAGGGTAAAGGACGAGGGAGGAAGGCAACAGGAGATGACATGGAGCATATTGTTTCTGGGATCAAAGGATGCACGACCAACAGCAATGAACAGCGTCCAAAGACCTTGTCAAAGGACTGCAAAAAAGCCACTGTGCGGACCAAAGCTAGGTCTGGTTCCAGTAAGCCACACCCTCCTCCACCACCTCGTCACTCCCATGCTCAGCCGCCTGCTGACACCCAGAAGGCCCCGCCTCTTAAAGAGACTCCCCCTGTTCCTAGACCCAGTCCCTCCTCTGCTGACAGCTGGGAGAGTGAACCCAGGGTTATCAAGCCATCCCTGGCTCCTCATCACACACCGGAACAACAGAGGGAGCATCTTGAGGAGAGGCAGAGATGGCCGGAGAAACCCCAGCAGGTAGTCAATGCAAATTGGGCAAACCTTTGTCAGATCTCATTCTGTGTGTCATGTGTTTTTTTTCTGTACAATCAACCGTCTCTGTGTCCCAGAGTGAATTAAGTACGATTTTAATTACATGCTTTGTCACAAATAGTCTTTTTCTACTTTTCCCCATTGGGTTATCATCTACACAGGACAATACAAAACATTTAAAACAATCTTGCTGAAGTTAAAACAGATGTTTTTATACAACAGGGTGAGAAGCCAAGCACAGATGTGATACCTGAGGTCATGCCAGAGCAGGTGAGGAGGCCTCCGTGTCCAGAGCTTGTCCCTGCAGAGGACAGCAATGCATCCAAGGTAAAGACTTATTACACAACAGAAGATATCTTGTCGAAGATGTGATCCAACCACTTTTGATGTATGACCATGGAGTCTTTTTCCATCTTCATAATTTAGTTTTATATTATCCCCACTAACGTTTGGAGAATGATTTGGCCACAACTCTCAAAGAAATATTTGCTTTGATAATTGATATGGCTGTCTTTTCAGGTATTATTGCCATAACAAAGTTGTCCATTGAAGTCTAACTTATTGACATGATAACTTGTTTTAAAGAACACACAGGAAGCTGCTTCTTTCCCCAGCTTTGAGGATGGTAATTATCTCATAATTATTCTGACAAATGTATTAATTTATTGCAGCACATTACAATGTTTTCCAATGAGAGCTTTTTGTTTTGCTGCATAGTCCCAGGTCCCTGTGAGCCAGAGGATCTTATTGATGGGATCATCTTTGCTGCTAACTACCTTGGCTGCACTCAGGTGTTGTCTGATAAAAACCCATCCAAGTCTGTCCGTATGTCCCAGGCCCATGAAGCTGTCAGTCGTATCAAGGTAATCTGCCTCCTCGGGGGGACAGTCGTTAACATCCATTGATTCAGTTCATATACTGTATATTCAAGTCTGCCAAAGATGCTGCTGCATACCGTCTTCCTGTGTCTGTCTCGAGAATGTAGCAACACTTTTACCAAACACATGACTTTGTGTCTAGAAGAATTGATTCAAAGTTGATGGTGATCTGGGACTTTATGCCATTAGACAAGTAACCTTCAGAGAGACTTTGCTCCCTATACTAATTGTGTGTTTGCAGGTTTAAGAATCACAATTGATGTTTCTGGATACAACAACAAGGTTAATCAGCACTGGCAGATGCCTGGGCTTCTAAAGTAGCTTTTACTTCGGATTTTAATGGAATTCTAAGTGTATATATCGGTATACCTGTATTGCCAGCAGATTTATTTGTGAAGGCCATGCAGCAGGGTCATTTCTCTACCACACGGTGGAGCTGTTGCATGCCTTTTTTGCTCACCTGCACATATTAGTGTTTTGATAATGAGCTGAAATTGGCATTGTGAGATAAAAGTACACAAATATTGAACGTCTGATTAAATAAATATGTCATTTATTTCAAAGAGCCAAGATGAAGAATCTCAAATGATGACAGAGGTGGATCTGTTCATCTCCACTAAAGCTGTCAAAGTGCTGAATGCTGACACACAGGTTAGGACCTCTTTGTGTGTTGATTGAGCTGCCCTTCTGTGTTGAATCTATTTTCAGAAATAATGAGCAAAGCTTGACATTGTTTTTGCACCGTAGGAGACAATGATGGACAGTGCCTTGAGGACCATCTCCTACATAGCCGACATTGGCAGTATTGTTGTTCTGATGGCACGGAGGCGCATGTCTCAGGCCTCATCAGAGGACTTCTCAGAATCTCCCGACACTGCCAGCGAAGGGAAGAATCAGTACAGGATGATCTGCTATGTTTTTGAGTCGGAGGATGTGAGTGTTTGCTGCTAAACTGATCATACATTTTTAGTTTTTTTTGTTTTTTACTTTAGTTTTGTTTTAGATATTTGTTCTATGGTCACTAAAACATTGTGACGTGTCTCACCCCCTTGCTGTTGTCAACTCGGATAGCCTCTCTGCTGAGTAGTTTTCCCCAAACTCTCCCCTTCCCACAGGCACAGCTCATTGCACAGTCCATCGGTCAGGCTTTTAGCGTGGCCTACAGAGAGTTCCTGCGAGCCAACGGCATCAACCCGACCGACTTGAGCCAGAAACAATACAGTGACATCATCAACTCCCAGGAAATGTACCACGATGACCTCGTCCATTTCTCAAACTCAGACAACTGTAAAGAGGTGTGACATTTTTTTATTTGGCTGCAGGGGAATTGTGGATGATGGACAGACGGATTTATAAATCACTGTACCAGAACCTCACAAATCTACTAAACCTTGACATTCCAAATGTGCTTGAAAACGATTAAGAAAGGCTTCCTCTTTGTTCCAGCTGAATGTGGAGAAGCAGAAAGGGGAGATCCTCGGTGTGGTGATCGTTGAGTCTGGTTGGGGCTCCATTCTGCCCACCGTCATCCTGGCCAGTATGCTGAACAGCGGCCCTGCAGCTCGCTCTGGAAGACTCAGTGTTGGGGACCAGATCATGTCCATCAATGACACCAGCCTGGTGGGGCTGCCACTTGCCACCTGCCAGGGCATCATCAAAGTACGCAGCGTCATGCACCTCCGGTTGTCACATATGCAGTGTTCATTCAATCGTCTAAGGAAATAACACAACATAAACGATTTCCTGGTGGTTAGACAATGCTGCTCAAACAGACTATTTGTTGCAGACTATGTTTAGCTGTGGATTTAGGTCAGTGGTAATATTTAACAAGATGTATGTAGGAACAAATCAAAAAGAGCTGCTGCTCCCATGTTTTTAATATTTATTCAGACGCTAATGGAGGAATAAGTTATATAAGACTTTGACTTCAGGTAATCATCAGACTTGTCCTTTAAAAATGACTGTAACTTTAATGTGTGTTTTTATGTGTTTTTGGTCCAGGGTCTGAAGAATCAGGTCATGGTGAAGCTGAGTATTGTGAGCTGCCCTCCTGTCACCACTGTCCTGATCAAGAGACCCGATCTCAAGTTCCAGCTTGGTTTCAGTGTGCAGAATGGCATTGTAAGTAAGCCCTTGTTCGTATGAATCATTACACTAAACTTTGTGTTGAGGCTAAATTTGAAAGGACGCAGCTGTTTTTAAGGAGTGAGGGCTGTGCTGTATACTATGCAGTTACACGCAAAGTGTCTTTTTTTCACATCCTCAGATCTGCAGTCTGATGCGAGGCGGCATAGCTGAACGAGGCGGTGTTCGTGTTGGACACAGAATCATTGAAATAAATGGTCAGAGTGTTGTGGCCATGGCACATGAGAAGATTGTTCAAACCCTGTCTGTCTCAGTGGGTGAGGTAAGAAGACATCATGCCACAAGATAGCAATTTTCACTGATTACTGCACCACACAAATCACTGTACCATGCAGGCCTTTTCAAGTCATACCTACAGATTAGATCCGTTTTAGGTTAGTTAAAGACTTTTGGTTACCTACTTCATGGTAATCCTGCATGCATTTTTATGGCGTAAACGCTGATAGAATACTCCAGCATATGAGGAATGATTGTTTGAGAAAACTTGGCTGGTCAGAAATGAAGAAATATGCAATTCCATTCAATGTCAACCTAACCTAATTACCGCAAATCTACAAATTTGTGCATATCCTTATCTACCACCAAATGGATACTGTGTTTCAAAAGAACAGTTTGACATACTGATTTTTTTGTTTATTAGCTTTCTTGCCGTGTGTTGTCTCATGCCTGTACGGTAAATATGAAACTACCACCAGCAGCTGCTTAGCTTAGCATAAAGACTTAAAACAGGGGCAAACAGCTAGCTTGGTACAAAATCTAGTGCCTCTAAATCTCATTTAAAGTCCGGCGCATAAACTCTCTCAAAGTTTCATTTTTACACCTCGGCTTTTGTAGGGATTAAATATGCAAGATACAACAGGTTAGTGAGCAAGGTGCGTCTTCTACTCAGCTTTCACCAGCTGTTGATTACACAGTATCATTTCTCCCAGCATATGTCTCCTTTAAAGCCAAAGAAGCATATTCTTTATTCACTAATGGATTCAAGGTCTCCTCTGACTGAAGGGAGTAAATTAGGCCAAGTGATGTGATTAGGACTGCGCCTCTGAAGTTGACAGTGTAATTGTTCTCCTCCCCTCATCTCTGCCAGATCAACATGAAGACGATGCCTGCTGTGATGTTCAGACTGCTGACAGGACAGGAGACGCCTATCTACATATAGAGACCCTGCATGGATCAGCCCACTGTAGTTCTGCATGTCTGGCTGTGGGGAGCCGATGGACAGGTGGCTCAGTGGGACGAGGGAAATTTATTTTTCTATCATTTTATTTTCTCGGCCTCTTGTTGCAATGCTGTAAAGAACATCCAGTTCTCATTTTCAGGTTTTATCTTGAATTACATTGTCATAATGGCCTTACGATGTGAATACTCTGTCTGTGGTACTGTGCGTGAGTTTCTGGTGTTGAAGAGAAGTAGCTTTAAGGTCATGATTATTTTCTTATGAAGAGATAAATTAGTACATTTATTTTTTATTTAGTCATTTTTATAACGTGTATGGAGTTTAACAATGTACTTCTACTGTAAATACTTTGGATTACTCAAGGACTTGGTTGGGAAGGCCATATTACTCCTACAGTATATGCATGTTATTATGAAGAATTACTGACCAGGGATTCATTCTCAATCCAATAATATAATCTACAACAGTAAGTATTAAATGATGATAATAATATGCTGTACAAAGGCACTAAACTATGTGTATTATGGTGATGCTGAAGGCCAAAGACACACCTACTTTTCACATGCAGTATGGGTGATCATTACCTTTACCAGAGCGTACAGTACAAGAATGTATCACAATATACATTACTGAATGAATGTAATGTTATAACACACTAAAAATACAATCTCACAGAGTAATGCTTGTTGTTGTTTTTATTTTATTGTGGTGGTACTGGCAGAGAAAAGTACTCACAGACAAGACGTAAAGTACATTCTCCTCTATTTGAAATGAATCAATTGCTCCAATCCCAGCAGTTTGGTTTTCATTCTTCCTCTCGTTCTTTCACATTTATTTGGATCTCAGAAGCTGTTATGGAAGGATGCTTCAACCAATGACGCTGCTCAGACAATATGTACAAATTAGACCGTGTGTTGTTGCCGTGGCAACGTGCATACCTCACAAGAAGTCCTGAAGAGGCCATCAAAATGTAATCAATATTAAACTATACATTATTTTGTTTCATCTTTCATTTCTCATGAAAAAAGAGTTGAGCAACGATAGACCTGTAATCCGTATTGATCGGTGTATGGATCCCATACAAATGTACATGTTGTACTTACAACTACTGCACCATGACAATGAACTTTACATACACAACTATTCACAGTTAAATCATGCATAACACATAACAGGCTCTCATAGATAATTCAAACAGGTGTGAAGTTAGACACTCCTGTAACACATTCAGCAAAAATATCTTCAAGTATTAGCTGTATTCGCTGGGGGAAACCAGGACGGCTTCAGACGTGCTCCTAATACACAGAAACAAAATCATGTCAGTCAACAAGCAGCAAAAGGATATAACTTCCTTAAATACTAAATGGACATTATTGTGCAGGATTCATGACGTATATGGTGTGGTGGCCGAAATAGCAGTGATTCGTCTTATTTCAATCTTGCATCCCTTATTAATACCACAGTGGTCACAGAACTGAATATGTATTTTGCAACAATAAATGCATATCAAAGTCAAATTTTTCTACAGATTATTTTATGTACAATGAATAAAGCACTGTTGCTGCTTGTAAGTAAATGACGAATCCATTGCTAGATGGGTCAAAAGAGAGAATTACCCTCTCAGTGTCGCCACTTACCGCCATGACTTTTGATGTCAGTGGTGAAATTGTCACTCCATCAAGAAAAACTGCATTCAGGTAGCCCTCCCCATAAGAAACATCCTCGTCTTCATAACTGTCGACGCCAACACTGAAAGCCTCTTTCATTTTTTCTGGTATCAGAAAGTTCAACGTCACCATCAGAATCCCGATGACGGCGCACAGCACACCTGGAAATCATTTCAGTTAGTAGAAATATCGCTCTGTGTGCCAGTTTACAATACAAAACATATGAAATGAGTGTGCAGCTTCTCATCTTTACCTGTAGCCAGAGCCAGCCAGAACGAATGGCTGTACTCGATTTCAAAGGAGTCAGTTCCTATGGAGAAAACACACTGCGGCACGTTCATGATGGTGGAGAAGGAGGCCATGGAGAAGAAGATGAAGGCAGCGGTGGCCATCATCATGTACCCGGCGTACAGAACGACCGGCATGGAGAAGAGGATATTGGCGAGCATCCAGCAGCAAAATGCCGTCCTGTGAAAGTGTGCAGCCGTTTTAACGTCCGCCACTTTTAACATTCATCTGCTGAAGCCGAGGGTTTATTAATACAAGTTCAAACTGTTGGCAGTTGTCATTACCAGAGGGTTGCAGAGGCATATCGTCCAGAGTATCTGTATTGAAAGATGAGTCCACATGGGCTGCTCAGGGTGAATTTCTCAGCGATGTACAGGATGGGGTTGGGTAAACCTTTCTCCAGAGCTTCCTCATACTCTTCTTCCATAGTGTCATGCCAGGTGAACATCTCATTGTAGTCAATGGTCTCGTTGAACTGTACAACAGGATTCCCTGTGAGAGAAAACAGCCACACATTTATGACAGATGCACCTCAAACACACATATCCCACAAAATAGTTTTAATGACAGAACTTGCAGGATCGGACTACTGAGCAAACATCTTACAGATCTAAGTTGTGCAAAGCATTAGAGCTGCCAGTGTATGAGTGTATTATCAACATATCTGCACACAACAGCAGCAACAGTGACTCACCCTTTAGTGTCACATTAATGCCGTACAGTCCAACATGCAAGCCGATGTCAGCGTTAACCACTGCGTTGCTGAAAGACTTGTAGGTGGCATTAGTGGTCATTCTGGCCTCGGCCCAGTCATTGGTAAAGTTGAGCACTAGAGGAGACACAAAGTGATGAGTGACGTTGGCAGGAAAAGGAAAATCAGTGATTTATTCAACGACAAGAATACAAAACTCACCCACTATCACCACTCCTATGAACAAGCTGATAGTTATTCGACACATCCAGAACAGCCTCTGATAGGAACAGAAAGGGCTCAATTATTTAGGGTGCATTAAATCAAAATGGAGACAATAATTCTGAGGTTTTTGCAGTGCGTAATAGTTAATGTGATGCTTTGCACTCACCGACTTCCCTCTTATCCCTGGCAGAATGAGAAGAAGACTGACTGCCAGCACAAGAAAGACTAGAATAATGGTGAGCAAGCGGCCACTGAAGATGAAGGAGGTCCTTTGTAGAGGGTAGAATGGGTAAATGTCATCGTAGAAGGTCATCTTAGCTCCTTAGCTGAGACTAGACAGTAACAGAGAAGACAGTGTTAGTGGCGGGGCTCTCAGTTTCCCCCAGAGGCAGACATAGCAGCACTTGTTCCTTATACGTGATGGGACGTATATATTCCTGCCGTGTAACATGGCACACGATGAAGCACAACCATGTCTGACTCACGTAATATCCTCTAGTGACACAGTCTATCTTTGCTACAAATAAATGGATGCAACTAAAGCATGCAATTCAAGCTCATCCAACTGACCACCTCAGTTAGTGTAGTGTAAATAGGTGCTCTTGATTTTAATTCACTCATTTGAACATAAATGTAAATAAAAGCTTTAACTAAAACCCATCAATGAAACAGAGGAAATGAAAAAGATCTTTCTTACCTGAACGTGGAAAGGCGAGTATGGCAGAAGAAGAAGAGAGTCAAATGTGAATGTTGAGGGAACATACACTTCTTTTATACCCCCTGCCCCCTTTGTTTGACCGAGGAGGAGGATGCATTGACTGGAATGCTGTGGAAAAGAGGTGTGATCCAGAAGTAATGACCATTCCCATTTTTGGCAACACAGGTCTCATGCAGTTTGTGATCAGCTGTGCAATGCAAGTTGACTTTAGTTATTGCACCATCCCTCACCTGCACTTATGCTCCTGCACTACAACTCCTCCTGCACTACTGCACTTCAGCCTCTCCAGTGGGTAAGACTCAACTATTTCATCTTCTCCCATCAAACACAAACTGGTTCAGGAAACAGGACGTTTTCTTTGAATTTCTGCAGTTTATAGGTAACGTTTTGGTGGTCATCCCAAAAGGTGTCAGCTGTAGAATTAAACGTCCTGTCTTGTCTTTCTTGCTAAACCAACAAAGTGTATTACATAGAAATCTAATAGAAATATGAGGTTGTCTGTGAAATGTCTGTCACCTTGTCTTTACTTTCCAGAAGTCCTTCACTCCTCTCGGCGGCAGACTGAGCTGAGGAGCATCTCTCGCATCAATGGATTTGCGTAAACGGGTTTGGAGTATCTGCGCAGCGGTTGGCTTGGTGCTCATAGTCAGTGAACGTAAGTACCCAACAAGTGTACTTCATAGTCAGCTACTCGGTTAACCTATAAAAGTGCCGTTTAAACCCGACATGTCTTGAACAGAGTCCCGCTGTGAAAAAAACTGGGAGGTTCCTCGCTTCGACGGCTGGTACAACAGTTTGGGATATCCCAGACGCGGAGCTGTCGGTAAGTTTCAAGTTTGCAGCAGCACCAGCAGACGCTCACAGCCTGCCAACACACTGTACTTGTGCTCGCGCAGGTTCTCGCCTTGTGCGCCTTGTGCCCGCGCATTACTGGGACGGAGTCTACCAACCTGTCCAGGAGCCGCCAAACCCCCGCAGGCTGAGCAGCCTGCTGGCCGGGGGCCCCTCCGGTTTGCCCTCAACACGCAACCAGACCGTGCTCTCTCTGTTCTTTGGTAAATATATCAGGCAGTGTGTTGCATTGAAGTGCACGATGAAAAAATATTAAATCAGAAGGCAGAATTGACCCAAACTGAACGTTTATTGTGAGTGTGCACCAATATGGCGCACTGACATTTTCAACCCATATCGTACCGACATGCAGGTGCAACATTTTATCTACAAGATTTTAATACTTTCACTATTACTCATGTAAAAGTTATATTAACCAACTCCTCGATAAGATTTTACAAATGCATATTGCAAATTAAAACTTATATTGACTGATATTTAACCAATCAAGATGAATCTGATCTGTCTTCAAACAAACACTCCGGAGCCAAATAGATGTTTTTTGTAGTGACGTTTTTTAAATTATTTTTACTTCTCAGGTTATCATGTTTCTTTTGAAATGTTTGACTCAAGAAGTCCTGGGTGTCCACCTGAGTTCATGAACATCCCAGTTCCAAAAGGTGACCCTGTCTTTGACCCCACTGCCACTGGAAAAGTCCTGCTGCCCTTCCAGAGAGGACCGTGGGACAAAGAGTCCGGGCAGAGCCCCAGTAATCCTCGCACACAGGTATCAATCTTGATGAAATAAAAACAGTGCATGTGAACAGTAAATTAAGATCTGTAGCAGCTCTGAAAGGCACTTTGCATTATGTTACCGGACATTTAAACTTTTCATCAAGTGCGGTCATTTTAGAAAAAACAAATACATCACCTGCAGGTCAACTTGGTGACCGCATGGATAGATGGCAGCTCCATCTATGGCCCCTCCACGTCCTGGTCTGACTCCCTGAGAAGCTTCTCTGGAGGGTTCTTGACTTCAGGCCCTGAGTGGAACATGCCAAATCAGGCAAGAGGACACAGTTTCATGTGGGCCGCCGCTGACCCCACTACAGGAGACCACGGACCTCACGGGCTTCTTGGTGAGACATTTTATACCTAATACTTCAGATGTGACCTGAAACACTGTTTGCAATATAGGTAATTTGGTTATCCACTGAGTACCAGACACTGATGTATATATCATCAGGAGCATTTTATAAAGCTGTTTTTTCCACTAAACTAGACTGAATGCCATTGATTTACTCAAAAGCAGTCAAACATTATTTCCTCTGTACCTGGAGTGCAGTACATCCAAACATATAGTTAAGGTTGATTTATTGAAGATACTGTATGTTGGCTGGAGCTCAACCCAAAACAATGGAGCTCAGTGGCATTTAATTTATGGCCTTTAAAGCTCCAAACTCAACAGCAATCTCTCTTTCCAAGTTCCCAAAAATCCACTGCTCTGCCTGTGAAAATTCATTTTTCAGTGAGAGGCCATTATTACACACACAAACTAGCTGAAATTGCACATAAAAGATCTCCAAATCTCAGCTGATCTGATCCAAAACTATCTGGTGGCACAGATTTCACTCAAGATAAGATTACATATGTTTTAGTGTGTGTTTGGCTGAACTAAACCTTTTAACAATCAGGTGCCGGAACAGTTTTTTATACTGTATGTGGTAATAGTAACAACACTGCAAGCAGCTGAACTCAAGCGGCAAGAATTTCTTGCAAATAGTATGCATGGGTTGCAGCCTGTGAGGCTTAGTCAAAAGAGGCCCTGCCTGACGTGAGTTGTGACTCTTTAATTATTGTGTTAATGGCTTGTCACACTCACCACAGTAAATCCCTCTCTCTATAGCACAGAGGATGCCGTACAGGTCTCATGACACCAGGGTTTTGTTGCTTGTGTTTATAAAAGGTGTGTAGTTATTATGTGGGGTGGAGGCGGAGGATCTTCTGATGTTGTCACCGCTCTGTTGTCACGTCCTTAAAAACAAACATCCAAATTGTCATTCCATTTGTGGTCAGAGATCCTCATCAATAAATGTAATGGGAGCGTGTCACTGTACTGAAACGTTTTTTTATAGCATTTTATATGAAAAACGCGTTAAATAAACAGCCTCTTCTCTGTTTATTGTGTTGTAGCTATAGTGATGTTGATTCACATGATGGAAGAGCAGAATTCCCTATAATTTGTGCCATCTTCTGTGTCCAGAGTTGGGAAATGCCTGGGCCAATGAGAACATGTTCACAGCAGCAGAGGGGATTATCTGGTTTCGCTACCACAATTATGTAGCTTCCAAACTGCATGAGGAACACCCAGAGTGGTCAGACGAAAAGCTGTTTCAAAACGCCAGGAAGATCGTTGTTGCCACATTCCAGGTAGGAAGAAAAGTCTCCATGTACTCCTCCCGCTACTCAGGCTGCTGATTTTATTTGCACTCTGGAGAAAGCAACGCCGGGTGGTTGTGATTTTATGGATGAAATTGTTGGTTTCAATTTAAGGGCGAAGGCTCGCCTCTCATTTGTTTGATTAGTCGAGTCTGTCCACTGCAAAAACTGTCCTCAACATCATTGCACACATGCTAATTACCTTTTCTTCTTCTTTTGAAAACAACTGTGTTTTTTGTCATATCAAACCCAAAATAGCAAGAGCAACCGCACCTTAAAAGGAGGAAAATACAGTTTTAGTGGATTCAGAAGAGCTGCAATAACTTCCATCCCTGCTGTTTTTCCACACAGAATATTGCTCTCTACGACTGGCTGCCTGGATATCTTGGAGACAAAAAGCTCCCTCCTTACCCAGGTAAGACTCAGCCACAGTGCGTGTACGTACAAGTGGAGAGGAACAGGTAATGCACTGGTGACCACAAGCCGTGGTCAGGTGAGCTATCATTGTTGGTGTTTGACAAATATGTGCTCCGTCAGCAAAGCATCACCCCGAGTCTCCTTCTTCTGCTGAATAAGCACCGCAGCTGCAGAAAGTTAAAGGGACAATGGTGAGATGAGCCCATCACTGACCATTCACTCTTCATTTTCATATTCACACTGCTTTTGTCGCCTCTGGTTGAACATTTGGATGATGATATAGGGTGTTTGCATGCATGAGGATTGTTTCAACTTGCAAGTTATTTTGTTCTTCTTGTATTGGTTTGTAATTTTTTTTTGATTTCTCTGTATGCAGGTTACCAGAAGTTTGTTGATCCAGGGGTCTCTCCTGAGTTTCAGGCTGCTGCCATTCGATTTGGCATTACTATGGCCCCACCTGGGGTTTACATGAGGTACTATTCGGTAAACACATTATGAAAAATCAAAGCTTACTGTGTTTAGTGGGCTTTGGTTGAGTGTGAATTTTCTATGGGCTGCTGTGAACAGTGTCAGACAAAAAAAAAAAATAGTATGTACTAATTTTTAGAAATCAAACCCACCGCATCGGCTCTCCTTTTTCTTGCAGAAACAGAACCTGCCATTTTAGGAAGCTTGTCAACACAGATGGCAGCTCATCACCAGCAATGCGTCTTTGTAACAGCTTTTGGAAACGTCAGGTATATTATGATCATACTTCTGTATTTTCATATTAGTGTAAGGAATATGTTTACGGTAAATTGACTTATGTGCTCATTTAAACACTATATGCTTTTATCACCTCAAACTGTCTCTCCACCACTTTCTGATGCCGCTTACTTTGAAAGTCTTTCTTCTAAGTAGTTGCATAATGATTTTTTTGAAAATGAGAGCAGGCAGTGAAGTTACATTTAGTACAATTATTAATGTATGGAGACAGTGGAAAAGTACTGAGGGAGAAGAGCAGAGAAGCTCTGGAAGGATTTTAATCAGGTTCTTTTGTGGCTTCAGAGGCAGGAAACAACAATGTGGGTCTCTGAGCTCGAATGAGGCCGTCTGTAGACATGTTTCGCCAGAGTTAATTACGAATCACTTTACATGTGTTTCTTTAGATTCTCATCTATAAATTCTCAGTTATGTTTTTCATTTAAAAGTTAGTGTTTGCGTAATGAATATCATGGATGTCTGTGATCTGTTGAATTGGAGATACAGTGAGCAAATAAGACTAATATGTTTGTGTATTTTAAAGGGTTCCTGATGCCACCCACACACACACACACACACACATACACACATCGTATTTTTTAATGCTTTTGTCAATCTGCTTCCAGACAGACGATGTTAAGACAACAAGCCAGGACATAGACGACCTCCTCATGGGAATGGCTTCGCAGATTGCAGAGAGAGAAGACAATGTTGTCGTGGAGGACTTAAGAGGTCATTAATCATCCTCATTCACTGCATGTATAAGTACCACATAAGTCAAGCAATCATAAATATAAAATGGGAATCTGTAATAAAATCACTCTGCATATCATTCATTAACATGTTTTCAGGTTATAGACTAATATTCACAGCTCTGATCTGATTTGCACCCTGACAGACTTCATGTACGGACCCCTGAGGTTCACCCGGACAGATCTGGTGGCCATAACTATCCAAAGAGGAAGAGACTTTGGCCTGCGTAGTTACACTGAGGTCAGAAAAGCTCTGGATCTGCCTCCTGTCATCACATTTGAAGACATAAATCCTGAGCTCAACAGCACCAACCCACAGGTAAAAATTGTTAAACAAAGATTGATCCACTTGCATAAAAATTAAATTGTGTTCTTGTGTCCAACAGTTGCTCAACGATATTGCAGAACTGCACAGCAGAGACATCTCAAAACTGGAGCTCTTCCCTGGAGGACTACTGGAATCTCTTGATGGTCCGGGTCCAGTTTTCTCCGCGATCATCTTGGACCAGTTTGAACGCATTAGAAACGGAGACCGCTTCTGGTTCGAGAACAAACAGAATGGGTAAGCTCCTCTCTGAAAGACTTAAAATAGAAAATGGTTGTGATAGTGTCTGATCAGTATTGTGTGATTTACCTCATATGCCAATCATCTTACTGCAGCTGTGATCTTTGGGGTGTTTTCCAGTTTGTTCACAGATGAGGAGATCGAGATGATCCGCAATGTGACCTTTCATGACGTTCTTATCGCAGTCACAAGTGCAGAAACCACTGATATACAAAATAATGTGTTTTTCTGGAAGGATGGTAAACGTGTATTTGATTAATAAACAAAACTTGGATTTTGTTCAAATCAGTGATATAATATTTAAAGGATGGATAAACAAACTCTCTTTTGCCATAGGAGACCCTTGTCCTCAGCCAGTGCAACTGAACACATCAATGCTCCATCCCTGCACTAATGCTACCAAACTCAATTACTTTGATGGGAGCCAAGCTGGCTTTGGGATATGTATCATTATTCTGTTCCACTTTCCTGTTGGTCAGTACCACATCCACAAATCCATCTCCTTTTGCACAGCAATAATACTAATTTCAGCCGTTTGGTTGTGACACTGATAATCCAATTTAATTATTCTACTTTCACAGTTAGTTTTCTGGTGGCCTGCATGGTGGCGTATCTCCGCAAGTACAGGTACAGGAAGTTCCAGAGAAGAAGAAAAGCTGGTGACAGAACAGAGGAGCCAGCTGTGGAAGTCACGGGTACGCAATCCGTGGGGATTTAAAAAATACTTCTAATACTTCTAATAATGTCCAATGTTAGTGAAAACAGAATATATTTAAGTCAGGCTTTTACAATTGACTCAATGTCAATCACTAATAAACATCAGCTGACTATCAGCAGCTGTGATTTACTGCAGCGCTGGGCTGCAGCAGCCAGTATTATGTCACATGGTATATCAACACAGCTATCAAACTGAGCTGATTATATGCATTTATGACCTTTCATGAGATATATCCTGTCAGCTACAGAACCCAACCTATAAACTCTACAAAAACTGATAGCAAGTTATTCAAAGGTGACAATGAAACCAAACTGGTAGTTGTGCTATTTTACACCTGCAGTCCTAATCATCATCTGCTTCTGCTCTCCAGCCTACGAGTGGCAGGGCCATAAAAAACCTCTGCAACCCGTCAGCGTGGAGCTCGATGAGAAGAGAAGGCTGCAGGTCTTTGACAGATCTGGGTCCGCTCACCGCTGTCTCAATCTGGGCAACCAGAACTACGTAGACATCCTTCTCTCCAACGACCGGCACCAGAAAGCTCTGCTGCTCAAAGTAGCAAAAGAGTACGACCTGGTGAGCATCTGGAGATGGGAGTTGGGTGTGGGGGGGTGTGGGGGGGGGAGGATTTATACCTTCAGGTTCTGAAAAAAAAGCTGCAGTGTGATTCAAGTTATAGGAAAAAAAAGGTTTTCTTTTGTAATGTTGCTGCTGTTTTCATTTTATAAACATCAAATTCATCAAATGCTTTCTCCCTTTACCGGGGGAGTTATTTTGCACCTCATTCAATCAATGAGCATTATTCTGCAGATGTACCTGATCTAAATCACTTTTATCCTTATTTATACCCTATTTTATCTCACTCCAGTCCTGTCTTTCTTCTCCTCTCTGCACATGCAGGTGCTGTTTTTTGATGACGAGAGCAAACGTGCAGCGTTTATGAAGCATCTGCGGCCGGGGTTGACAGACCTCGTGCAGGAGATTAGAGTGATGGAGATGAGAGAGAGGGAACTGCTGAAGGAGGCTTTAACCAAAGAGCAGAGGGCTCAGATTGTGGAAACTTTCATTCGACACGCTTTCTCAAAGGTACCGCCAGTCTCTGGTTGTTTACCTCATCCTTCGCTCCGTTACAGCGGCAGCAGATTTAAGCTCGGCCACAAAATCTCGTCAATCCTTGTTTGAGGTCTAATTAGGTCTGACCTGCAGCCAAAAGAACTAATTGTTGGTCTTGATGGTGACCTCATCTGTGATGGACAAACGGTAACCTCAGTTAACGTCGGTGATATTACTAATGACATACCCTCTGGTGCACAGGTCTTGGAAATAGAGAAGTGTGACGCTGGGGACATGAGTGGTGTTTCCCACAAGAAAGCCAGAGAGGTTCTCCAGTGCGAGCTGACAGCGTCTGAGTTTGCCGATGCTCTCGGCCTCAAGCCCGACTCCTTATTTGTAGACTCCATGTTCACACTCGCCGATAAAGATGGAAACGGATACCTCTCCTTCCGAGAGTTTCTCGATGTGATGGTTATCTTTATGAAAGGTAAAATGCAGGGCTCCGAGGTGCTGTAGCCTTGTTGTGTATCTAGGTGTGCTGCTATCTAAACAGTGCATAACATGTAAATCATGAGAATTTGAGCATGATATTTTTATATTATAACATCCTAACAATTCAACTCAACAGAATTTATGAAACAGCATTTAGAACATCATTTGAAACTTTCCAGTGGATGATCTACTCCGACTGTCCAGCTGCCAATAAAAATAAAGTTACAGAACGAATGAAATCAGTTAAATCAATAAATCAAGCAAAGTAAAGTACAGAAGAAGCGGGCAATGTCGGATATTTGATAAAAAGGTTGATGTCATGAATAATTCTAGTCCTACATTATGTCGTTGATGATGTTTGTATTTAATCAGGGTCTTCTGAGGAAAAATCTAAACTGATGTTCTCCATGAACGACATTGATGGAACTGGTTTCTTATCAAAAGAGGAATTTGTCAGGATGCTCAGGTTTGATCAATGTTTCCTTTTTCTTCATGACTGCACCAAGAATTTTTTCTGTCTGATGGTTCATCTTTGCCCTTTTTGATGTACTGCAGGTCTTTCATTGAAATCTCAAATGGTGCTCTGTCAAAGAGCCAGGCAGAGGACGGCATCAGGGCCATGATGCAGGCAGCAGGCTTTGATGACAAGGAGAAAATCACATGGGAGGACTTCCATTTCCTCCTGCGGGACCACGAGAAGGAGCTGCAGTTTGCCCAACTCAATGTCAAAGGTTGGAAAAAAAGTCTTGCCTAAGAAGATCTTTTCTTTAAGTCCTCATCTCTCTGACCTGATGTAATGAATGTGTCTGCTGTGTGTATAGGGATGGAGAAACAGGGAAAGAAGCGGATGAGTCGAGACCAGAGAGTGTCCTTCATCTGTTCAGGAAACAGGTCAGAGAACGGGACACAGGCTGTGATCACTCATCCAGATCACAAATGTAACAACCGGTGCTTGTCACTGTGGATAAAAACAACGATCCGCTGTAGCTTTGTCACTCATTTCATTTATATATGCCAAGTGACTATTGTGTCCCAGCTTACAATCTTTTTTTTGCTTGCAGCAGCTACAAGACAGATGGACCGGAGTTACGAAGACGGAAAAAGTTTGTTCAATATTTGATTTTTATTGCTCTTGCAAATGACTGGATGGAAAGATAATATGACAACAAACAAAACTCACCATTGAGAAGTTAAACATATTAGAAGTTCTGATTGTCGTCTCAAAGTATTTACTGTAAACTACCTCCCCTTCCCCCTCCCCAACCCCCCAAGTTAAAAAAACGATTTCAGTTCCTTTTGCACAAGTTTCTTTGTAGTGTTTATGTATTGAGGAAACTGTGGTTGTGTGGAAAACCATGGCAGCCTGTGGTTTACCAAAATGTTATGAATTTATGAAGTTGCAGATATGATGCAACTGCTCTTGAGTCCCTCTAACTACCGTAGAAAGTTAAAGCATCATACGCTACTTCCTCTGTGGCTGGGTGACCTCAATATGATCAAAAGCTCCACAGCTAAATACAAGAGTATATTTTCAGGTTAGGTGTCAACACTCCAAATGTCTATGTGAAGCCCAAGCGTGAGCAGTACATAAGGAACCCAATCCAACAAAAGATCCAGCACTTCAAACGTTTCATTGAGAATTATCGCCGTCATATCGTCTGCTTCACCGTCGTGTACGGCATCACAGCTGGCGTGGCGCTCGAAAGATGCTACTGTGAGTAGAAATCATTCCTCTCCTTGTTCAGCTTCCTCACTATGTTAATATGTTCTCGTCCTCTTTTGACCCTCCTGCAATTTCTTTTCTGACCTAATTAAAAACACTGTTTTCAGACTACGGTTTGCAGTCCGATTCGACGGGTATCCCCGAGACTACCCTGGTGGGCATCATTGTCTCCCGTGGCTCGGCCGCCTCCATCTCCTTCCTGTTTCCCTACATGCTCCTCACTGTGTGTCGCAACCTCATCACGCTGTGCCGAGAGACATTCCTCAACCGCTACATCCCCTTCGACGCAGCCATTGATTTTCATCGTTTCATGGCCATGACTGCCATCCTTCTTTCAGGTTGGTAGTCCGGAGGAGATAAAAGCAGAGAGCGATGGTGGAAAGTTAAGTTCTGATGTCTTCACCTGTTTATTTGTGTGAGCTCACTCCTATTTCCTGTTCCAACTGTAGTTGTTCATAGTTTGGGCCATGTGTTGAACGTCTACATCTTCTCCATCAGCAACCTCAGCATCCTGTCTTGTCTGTTCCCCAAAGTCTTTTTCAACAACGGGTAACGTTTGAAATATCTGCCTGATTTCATCAGCTACACTACACTCTACACTCTACACTATGTGGAGAGCTACGTTGCTGATTCACAGTGTGTTTTCATGTTAGGTCTGAACTTCCTCTGAAGTGGTCGTGGTGGTTCTTTCAAACCATTCCAGGTATTATAGGAAACAGTTTTTTACGACCTCCAGTGGTACATGCTTGTTATATTATGCTTTAATCCTGTTTTTTGCTCTTCTTTGTCCTTTTCCTAGGAATGACTGGTGTATTGCTTCTTTTTACTTTGGCATTTATGTATGTTTTTGCCTCACACTATTTCCGTCGCATCAGCTTCCGTGGATTTTGGATCACACATTACCTCTACATTGTTGTGTACATTCTAGTAAGTACTTATCAGACTTTAAATTACCCCAAATGCACTCTGCAGTCATGTGGCTTGCATGATGCAGTTTTTACAAATAATGTGATGCTGGCTTTGTCAACAGACAGTTCTTCATGGCAGTTTCGCCCTGATCCAAGAGCCCCGTTTCTACATCTACTTAATTCCACCTGCACTGCTCTTCCTGCTGGACAAACTGATCAGCTTGAGCAGGAAAAACATGGAGATCCCGGTGCTCAGAGCTGAGCTGTTGCCTTCAGGTGACTCTTCTGGAAATTCGTCAAAATGTCTTGTTATTCTCTGTCTCTCCTTGATTTTAGTCTTCAACTAGTTTCACTTTTCCATTGTCTTCACTGAAATCACGTAATGATTGCGTGCATTGTGCATTCAAGTTCACACTTCCCTCGGCTTTCCTACCTGTAGGTGTGACACATCTGGAGTTCAAGCGACCACAGGGCTTCGTGTATCGTTCAGGCCAGTGGGTTCGTATTGCATGCCTGATTTTGGACACAGATGAGTACCACCCATTCACACTGACGTCAGCCCCGCACGAAGAGACGCTGAGCCTGCACATCCGAGCTGTGGGGCCCTGGACCAGCCAGCTCAGAGACCTCTACACCGAAGAAAACCTGCTCGAGCTCGGAGCCTATCCAAAGGCAGGTTAAAGCATTATTTTGTGTGTGGAAATAGTTTCATCGTGTTCTCCATTCTTTGTCTTGATAGTCATATCTTATTTCATCCTAAGCTGTACTTGGATGGCCCGTTCGGTGAGGGCCATCAGGAGTGGATTGACTTTGAGGTGTCTGTTCTGGTGGGAGGAGGAATTGGAGTCACCCCATTCACCTCCATCCTGAAAGACCTGGTGTTCAAGTCCTCCATCAAGTCCAAGATTCAGTGTAAAAAGGTACTGCTTAAAAACCTACAATACATTTTGTCTTGAATCCGCCCCTGAGGCATTATTGATTTGTGCAAGAAATTCACTCTTTCTCTCTTTTCTCTCTCAAACATTCACTGGTTGTTTGAAGGTGTACTTCATCTGGGTGACACGAACACAGCGTCAGTTTGAGTGGGTGTCAGACATCATCAGGGAGGTGGAGGAGATGGACACCCAGGAGCTAGTCTCAGTCCACATCTACATCACGCAGGTGGCCGAAAAGTTCGACCTCCGCACCACCATGCTGGTGAGATCCAAGTGTAGAAAGAAAAAGTCGGAAATACTGAAATATTTAACAATTACACATATCAATTCATTTTAATGTTTACTTCCAAAAGGGTGCTTTATTTCAGTAACAGTTCAATATTTGGGGAAATAAACTCCCTCTCTTTATAGCTGGGAGTTAGATGAGAAGATTGATACCACTCTCAAATGTACGATAATTATGAAGCTTCATTACCTTAGCTTAGCATAAAGACTGGAAACAGAGGGAAACTGCTAGCCTGGCTCCATCCAAAGATAGCAAAATCTGCCTACCAGCACTAAGAAATAGCTGCATACATATGATAACGCCACATAAAACCTCAACTTCTTGTTTTTGCAGATTACGATAAACAAGATATAACGTGTTCCACTTTGTCTAATCTTAATATGAAGCTAAGCTATGCTAACCGGCAGCTGGCTGTAACTTCATATTCAGCATAGCAGAGTATCACTAATCTTCTTATCAAACCCTCATGAAGAAAGATTATAACATACTTCCTCAAACTGTTCTTTTAATAGTAATGAAATCCACCAATGATCCCTCACCCTTATCTTTTGACAGTACGTGTGTGAGCGCCACTTTCAGAAGGTGTGGAGCCGCAGTCTCTTCACCGGCCTGCGCTCCGTCACTCACTTCGGCCGGCCGCCCCTGGTGTCCTTTCTCAGCTCACTGCAGGAAGTTCACCCCGAGGTCAGTCCTTCATCCATTTTCAGCTACCTCGTGTTTGTCTGAAACATTGCCCAATACATCAGCTTACTTTTCAACTTGTATTATTATCTGCAGGTGGGTAAAATCGGTGTATTCAGCTGCGGACCACCTGGACTGACCAAGAACGTGGAGAAAGCTTGCCAGCAGATGAACAAGAGGGATCAGGCCCATTTTATACATCACTATGAGAACTTCTGACCTGCCTCTTAGCATTGGACTACATGGTTGCAGAACGAAAGATGAGACACTTTACAATGGAGAATACAAGTTACTAAAGCAGTTGATGACAAAATCACACAATCACAGAAACAATGTTGGACATTTTGATTTAATGTAATGTCTACCGATTAAATGTGTCTTCTTCTTTACATCTATATTCTCTATTCGTGAATATTATTGTTATACATTCATTTCTATCAGTCAAGGATGAGATTTCTTTATTTCTTATATCACAAAAACATACATGATTATATTCACAAGATATGTCAAATCATTTCTAATCATCATGCGAGTTCTTATTTGCTGTTTGACTCAAATATGTAACTGTCGTTACCTGTCATGTCATTACTTTGTTCAATTGTTTTTATGTCATTGATTTCTTGTGTTTTGTGTGAAATATGTGGAACAAATAAAATCACATTTTACAATAGATTTGTAACACTGTCATGTCAGTCACTACCACATTCATAACAGCAGCTGTAAATGTCATGTCTTTGTAGTACATAAGATTATGTAAGAACCTGTGGGAACCTGTGCAGTTGAAGTTCTCTTGATTCTGCTGTTGGCTCCTTCTGGTGCTTCTAGCTTTTGGACTAAAATTATACTTCAATTAACGCAAACTCCTAAATTTGATTTGTTGGTTGAGTGATACGCCAGACAGCTCCTACACCCAGAATGATAATAATAAAGTAAATATGTGGATTTTCCACAGGGGGGTGAATCTTTTCTTGGTGCCAGATGAATTTATGAGTTATTATTATTCATGAGTTAAAGCTCTAGGCCATCATTCTCTGACTCACTGAACTCACATTTATGTGTTTGATATTTGCACAATAAATTGGGTGCTACTACGACACAGTCCCAAAACAATGGGCTGTACACGTTTGTTTGCTTATCAAATACACTCAAGATAAATTTAAAGAATTAAAGAAATGAGTCGTTATCATGGAGGCCGAGTGAAACTTCCCGAGCAGGATAAAAGTAACAAGCTTACTCAGTCACAAAGGTAGTTGTGTGTTCTGTTTGAATTTCATCTGAGAGGCACAAGGAAGGAGACAGCACTTCAGCCTAAGGACATGTGTGACAAGTGCGTGTGTTGTCAGGCAAAAACATCCAGTAAGACATTGAACCTCTAGCTATAATCATGCCGATTGCAATTACAAGAATCAGCCTGCAAGCTGACGGAAACAATGCCGTTTTTCTTTTTCTTCTATTTACTCAGGGTTGTTTCATTTAGCGCAATGGGAGCTTTTTCAGGAACGCCCTACTCCTGTCACACACATTCACACCTGGCAGCCCAGTTCAACCATCGTCTGATGGCTGATGGGCAACGCCTCGATTGATAGCGGCTCAGCATTTGTACTGAGGGAGGGACAAGTACTGCGATTTCATGATCCCAATCAAAAGTTATGTTTTGTGGTTCAGTGGTTACAGAGACTGAAACAGGTTCATACAATGGAAAAAAAATGACTGCAAATCTATAACTGACAATAGACACCTTTATACGAAGATGGACCTGTGTTACATTATACCTAAATGCTTAAACAATCGAGAAGGGTTGGGGTAACAATGGTTGGGGTAACAAAACTGTGCTCTACTATCAGGACTACAATTGTTAGGCCCACTAATAATAATCCTGCTTTGTGACGAATGCCAACCTTTTGTAAAAACAGTTTCTTTCATTCATTGTATTTATTTATTTAATTCTTATGATTTAATTCTGCTTCAGTATTTTTCTTTCCCTTTTATTAATATTCCTTTTTGAGTACATGTGTGAAATGTATACATGTTGGAAGGTATATGTATTGGTATGCTGTGTGTATGTAGGTGGATAAAGGCAGATGAATAGTATATGTATGTGTATTTTTGTGTATATGTGCATGTATTTACATATATGTTTAGATAGGTACTCGCTAATAGCCAAAATATTAGTATTGTTATTATTTTTATCACGTGCCTTTATTTATTTTTTTAGAGGTCGTATGTCAGGGACTGTTCTATTGAGTTAAAAATGTAAATCCAACTGGTGACCTTCTCGTCACCAGCTGGATTAATTAGAAGATTCCGTAACACTACAAATTATTCGACTCATTTTTAAAAGAGTACTGCACCAATTCAGCATTGCACTCCTATAACATTGTCAAACTCACATTGAAAAATGTTTTTATTATGTTATGATAATAATCTTTCTTGACTTGGATAACTCTTTCTTTATTAAATTCATACAGAGATACGGAAAGTCAGAAATACACCTTTATCTTACTGTGGAAATGATATCTTATATTATCTTCAAGAAATGTTTTCTGTTGTTTCTGTTCTTATCTCTTTGCAGTGGAAATTACCCAATTTCCCGACTGCCGTCATTAGAATCTCATTCTATTCAATTTAATCTAATCTGACATCACTTTTAGTTCTCTGGAAAAGAAGTTGTATTTGGTCCAGAAATTACATTAAAAGATAAAAATAAAATGGCTTAGACACATTAAAAAAGAAGACGCTTATACTGTGACATTGCTCCTGCATTACCTAGTCTTTTTTTGTGTTGTCACTTTCACTTATTTGCCAACACTTGTACAGCTGTCACACAAATGTTCTGGCGTTGTACTTATAACAAGTCAAGCAGAAGTTTAGTCATAAGAACAGGATGTTGCTGACGTAACCGTATGACTCAACTTCTAAGACAGAACAACCAAATTAATACGTCAGTCTGTGTGCCAGCAGTGAGAAAACTGATAAGAGTGGAACGAGATCAAGAAGTTCTCAGTCAACTACATAATGTGAGAACAAACAGGAGAGCCTCTTTCCAACAATCAAGTCATGATCAAATGTATTACCGACACTTGATAAGCCTTTTCTTTATTCAGTGTGGCTTTGTGGCACAAGGCAGTTTGCCTGTGCCAAAGCACACTGACTGTAATCCTGCGGGCTTAATAATAACTAGAAAATTCCTAAAGAAATTTTGACAGTGTGGCTTCTACTGCCCGAAGAAATCGCAATATATACACACGCCAATGTTACCGGTAATGTCATTCAGGTTCAATTGAGATAGCGCTACTCTCTTTTCTGCATTTTAGATTCATACTCTTGGATTGAATCTTGTATTTGTGGGGCTTTTATTTTGAAAGGGTGGGACTGGGTGGGTGAGAGAGGGGGAGAGGAGCCAGAATCATAATGTTTGACACTAAAATGAGAGGCTTCATCACAAGCATTCCAGTTAGAATTCATTCTGTGGGGCTTTTAATTTGAAATGGGGGGGGAAAGTCCTCTAAAAATATCTAAGACCTGAATGACTGTATGATAGAGAGAGACAGGCAGAAAAATAGACAGAGAGGAGAGAGAGACAGAGTGAGTGAGACAGGCAGACAGACAGTTAGATGGATTGAGTGAGTGGGAGAGAGAGACAGGCAGACAGAGAGAGCGAGAGCCTGCACTGGCCACACACCTGGTGTTAGAGGCAGACTGATTAAGAAATGTTACAGTAAACAGGGATTTTGAACAAAACCCCTAACTCCTTTTAACAAATTAGTAGGAGTCTGAGTGCCAAAATATGGATACAGTGAGAAAGATAAGACTCTGGCAAACGCGCTGATGTGTTTTTTATGTTTGTGGTGTTAATAATGTGAGCTCCAGAGCAATAGACAAAACTGGTACCGTCTGCTTTCTTTGAGAAATGAGTGGTCAGATTTAACATGGAGTCTAATGGAGCAGTTGGTTGGAGTTCATGTCGCTCTGTGGCTCTTTGAGCCAAATGTGTAAGTCTGTTGGATTCCACAGACATCTGTGTGTGACAGCACAACATTTCCAAGCTTTTGGGTCAAAAATGGTGAATAAAGAGTAAAAATTGTGGGAGCTGGAGCAATTTGTTTGGAAAAATCACAGAATATTTTCAAGCTCCGCTCCACTCTGACAGTTATGCTCTCACTCTAGCTCTTAACGAGCTGTGCAATACACACCCATTATAAAATCTGAAACAGACACAAAATTTTCCTTAAACTTAATCTGTGACTTCATGAAAACTGTGCTAGCTATCAAAATGTCCCTTTGGCTCAATAAAGTGCAGCGTTTTGACTACATTTTAAACTTTGAATCATGTTTCTACATTAAAGTATGGCTAGTCAATATGGGCCCAAAGTTAAGTGTTTTTTTAGCTCTCTTCACGCCGAAACCCCATTCAAGTGAATGGGGCTCAGTTTTTTGTGATTTTCGGGAAAACCGCTGGGCGAATCACTCCGAAAAATAGAATGCACACTATTCCCGATTGGGCCGCACGTTTTGATGTATTTTTCACGCCGCTGTTGGCAACGCTGTGTGAGGAGAAGCGCGGCAAACTTTTGGATAAACCTGATTATTATGATTAAGCCCGATGGATTATATACAGTGTGCTTTGGCACAGGCAGTTTTACTGCCTTTGTGCTACAAAGCCACACTGAATAATAATACTAATCTTTATCGAAATGTGTGGCGCGCTTCTCCTCACACAGCGTTGCCAACAGCGGCATGAAAAATACCTTAAATCGTGCGGCCCAATCGGGAATAGTGTCTATTTTTCGGAGAGATTCGCCCAGCGGTTTTCCCGAAAATCACAAAAAACGGAGCAAAATCGCCCCATTGACTTGAATGGGGTTTCGGTGTGAAGAGAGCAAAAAAAACACTAAACTTTGGACCCATATTGACTAGCCGTACATTAACGTAGAAACATGATTCAAAGTTTAAAATGTAGACAAAACGCTGCACTTTATTGAGCCAAATGGACATGTTGATAGCTAGCACAGTTTTCATGAAGTCACAGATTAAGTTTCAGGAAAATTTTGTGTCTGTTTCAGATTTTATAATGGGTGTGTATTGCGCAGCTCGTTAAGAGCTAGAGTGAGAGCATGACTGTCAGAGTGGAGCAGAGCAGGAAAATATTCTGTAATTTTTCCAAACAAATTGCTCCAGCTCCCACAATTTTTACTCTTTATACACCATTTTCGCCAAAAAGCTTGGAAATGTTGTGCTGGTCGCAGTAAAGTGTCTATGGAATCCAACGGACTTACACATTTGGCTCAAAGAGCCGCAGAGCGACATGAACTCCAACCAACTGCTCCATTAGACTCTATGTTAAATCTCACCACTAATTTCTCAAAGAAAGCAGACGGTACCAGTTTTGTCTATTAATCTGGAGCTCACATTTTTAACACCACAAACATAAAAAACACATCAGCGCGTTCGGCAGACTCTTATCTTTCTCACGGTATCCATATTTTGGCACTCAGACTTTTGTTAAAAGGAGGAAGGGGTTTTGTTCAGCTGATGCTCCAGCTGATGCTCCCGTCATTTCCAAAGGCTTCTCAACCAAAGGTTTATATCTTAAATACAGAAATTATGGGAGTGTTGGCTCCCATAATTTCCAAAGGCTTCTCAAACAAAGATGTTTATGTCCA